TTTTTTTTTTTGTTCCTGAAATAAAATGGGCTTTTCTGGCATATATTAATAGTTTTAATATGCTTTTCCATATGCATTTAGAAACCCGAAAAATATGGCATTGTTTTCTTTTTTAATTGCCTGCTCCTTAAGGCAAGTCTGTGTTAACCATGAAATGAACAAACAGTCATGTAAAAATTAAGAGAAGGTTGCCATGATCCTGCTCTATTGATTGTACCTGTGGCAGATACATATCCTTGAAGTGGCAGCATCCTTTGAATTGGGGCTGCTGTTTCTGGGAGAAAAATGTACATAACCTGTGCCTTCTCCCTTTAAATAGCTGCATTTCTGTATATGCATACCTCAATGGTGATTTTCAGGAGCTGATACCATATAATTAAATACCAGCATACACATTGTCTTTTAATCTTACCTACAGTAGTTTGGTGTACCACAATTACTCCTTTTGCTTGCAGAATTTGTAATATTTTTGCAAGATGTAGCAGCTCAGAATCTTATGATTTGTGTAATTTATTGACTTGGTAAGCCAAGTGGAATAAAATTAAAGACGTACAGTTGTATGGAAGCCAATGTGAATATTTAAGATGCTGCCATGTTTTAGTAATAAATCCTGAGATGTTTACGTTGCACACTCATGGGAAGATTTGTTGACGGTTGCTTAACATGGTTAGTAGGACTGAAAGAAGCTGAGTACAAAGAGTTTGGGATATGCTTTACAGTGGTTTTGCTTAATGTTTCTTCATCTCAAAGAAGACCTGCAATTCTGTGCTTAGCGTTTGTGTATACTGAGAAGCGTTCCTTTTCAAAGCATGCTTGTGTTGGTTGTTCTTCACCGGATTAGAATGTTTTATTCTGTTTTATGCTCCACTCAATGCACAAAGCTTTTCATAAGAGCTGGCTGGGTAGATGGAGTACGTTTCTGAAAGTGTTTCTTAGGGTTAGCCTTGCAGTGTGAACTGAAAAGTCCTGTGCAGCACCAATCTGATTTCAGGATATGGGAGTGCTGTGCTGGCAAGCCCACTGGGAGGAAAAAGGCATGAATTTTTTGCATGAGTACATGCTTGTTAGACACTCTGGCACACATCATACTGGTGCATTTACAAGTTCCATAGGTAAAAGATATACGCATATTTTATTTTTAACTTTTGCAACTTGGCTCTGAATAACTGGACAGGCTATTAGGATAAAAGGTGGATTTGTAATGGTATGATGAGCTACAAAAAAGTCTGATTGTTTCTCAGATGCCAACCAATAGCTGTAAAATTCTGTATGAATATGAAGAGCACTTCATTAACCTGGGTAATGTTTTGTGCACATTTATTTTTCTTATACTGGCAAACTATCTTGCCCCGTTTAAATTTCTCTCTAACCGTACAGAAAAGGCCCTGTTTTCATTTCCCCGGTTCAGACAGCAATGATGAAAGCCTATTCCCTTTAAACTCGGTCACATTATTATTTTTGTGGTTACTGAAGGTTTCGGGGGGTATTTAAAATCTTTTACCAACAGTCATATCTGGTTCACTCTTGAACTACCAGTGGGATAAAATGTCGTTCGTTTCTATCCCTCCCTGGTGTGTAAACTCTACCTGAAACACCAGGTAACCCAGCACGCCTTTAACAGTTCTGTTACCATAGTTACTACATACTGGATGATGCTACACTGTGTTGCGCCTAAATCGTCTTTCCCCATTATTTGTGGCAGCAGATGCCTGACGCAGACAGACTCTCCCAACAGTTCTAATCTGCCCCCAGAAAACATTTGCTCTCTCTCACCACGGCATTACCTCACAAACCTTCGTCTAGACACATGTCTGCTGCCTCTTTGTTTCCCAAACTGCCAAGAGGTTCGATGTAGTTATTTTTTGGGGGAGAAGCACTGGTTAAGCCATTGTTTTTTTTTTTTGTGTGTGTTGAAATATGGCCTGGATTCCTGTTACTTCCTGTTATTTTCTCCACTCAGCCCTTGAAAAATGCTGAAAGGGAGGTGTATCCAAAGTGCAGTCTATCCATATTGCAGGTATAACTGAAGTGATTAATGATGGCCATTGGGGATGTTTTTCTGTTATGTTTCTGCCTGCCTGTACAGTGTCCTCCTTCAGAAGATAAGGAAACATTGTGCCACTGTTATTTTATGTAACAACTGCCACAGAAATGGAATCCATGCAAAGCAGCTTTTAAGTATGCCGAAAGCGAAAAGCAGCATCTTGAAGACGACATGTAATTTTTGTTCCCTAAAGGCTTTCCGATACACAATACCAAAGTACAGGCTCTGACTACAATTCGAGACCACAGCCAATAATGGTGTCTTTTTCTCAAAAAATGTCAAGAGTATATCCATGGACTGGATGAACTGTGCTCAACTTCCTGGGGTTTTATTGAGAAACTTTTTTTTTTTAAATACAATTTACTTACTGGTCTGTATGCTTTTCTTTAAAACTGGTGTGTATTAGTTTACTGCAGTTATACTGTACTGGGATTATCAACCCAACACAAATCCTTAGGGTTACTTGTACATTGACTCAATGTCAGCTTATGTTACTGTGATTTTAGTTATTTACATATTCATAAAAGCAGGTATTTACATTGTTCTTCAGTGCAGTTCTACTGGTTTTAAAGCTTGATTGCTCAGTGGGGCTATTCTTTTGTCCTTGAGGCCATTGCAGTGATATAAACCCCCTAGTGTGCTCAACATCCTTGAATTCTCCCACAACAGGGGCTGGCCTTTTGGCATAGTGGAATTGACAACTGTTTGGCAGAGGCGTTATATGGATTCGAGCTGAGAGGTGCCACAGAGACAGCGATCGAATAGTGTCAGGTGTCGCGAGCACGCCCTGAACATACAAATTCCTGTACTTGATTTAGAAGTAGTCTGTAACAGAACAAGAATGAAAACAGACAAGAATGGCATGCATTTATTCTTTGGGATTTGTAGAAAAAAAATACAAACACATGAACAAAGAACAGATCACAATTTAGAATAAATAAATTTGAGAGGATATGAGCATGTGATCATAAGGCATCAAAGTAATAAAACAATCTATTCCGATTTATATTTATCTCAGAGTGGGCTAAGTAAACAATGTTACAATTATATCAGATAAAACAAATAATGACGTTTTTACCATATGTACAGTATATAAGTTATGGAAAACAGAAAAGTGGGTACATAATGGAGCAGTACAGTTTTCTAGATTTATCTATAAAAATACAATTGTACCTTGTGCAGTACCTGTTGATTGTCAAACAACACATCAGAGCCTGCACTCTGTAGAAGTTGTGAACTCTGTGTGACAGTTCCTTTCATAACTATACTTTTGATAGTGTTGTGGTGGTGTGGCTTTTTCAGAATGGGCTGCCTGGCAGCAATCAATGTTTAAAATACCAACATTGTACCGTATATTAGAAACCATGTAGTTTCGCACAAAATATACTGATCTGTAATGCATAATTTACATCATGTACCCACTTTTTCCTTTATTTATTTCAAATACCGTAGATCCTTCTTTCCATTTTCATCAGCAGAGCTCACCACAGAAATCAAGCTATCAATTGACCTTTGCTCCAATCAACAGCATTTCTCTCCCAAAGAAGGATCCCACCTTCTAACAGGGTATTAAAATCAGGGTCTGACCATGAATGTGTTATAAACTATGCTTATTGTGAGCATGTTGACCTGGATTTTTTCTTACCACAGATAACTTTCTTTATTCAAATTCTAAAATGTGTTTTATTGTGTTTAAACTGTGGACCTATATTAAGATTACTATAGTATGGATTGAGTCAAAGTGTCTTCAACTGCCAGAACAAGGGACTGGTAAAGGGAAAGCATTATTTTCACAGGTGTTTGATATTTCCCCCTGCTTTTTTGTAAGAAATAGAAAGGCAGGTTTTCTGCCATCTTCCCGATTTTAAAATTCTGTCTCAAATAGGCATATGCCAAAACAGGGTTGTGTTTTTTTTCTCTGCAATCTGTGCCAAAGAAGTTTCTGAACAAAAAAGCTACACTTTTCCACATCACCAGTTTTCTAATTTGTCAGAAATATAAAAAATAACTGTTTAATACTGAAAACGTCTACATCTAGAGAGTGAAATGATTAAATTGATAACGCACAACCTGTCCTGTGAAAGAGTTCATGTGGAACATTAATTGAGGTTGGCCAAAAATATCCATTTTTAATCGGGGAGAAAATTGGATACATTCTAACATGAGAAACTTTAAGTTGGTCCACGTCTTTATTTCGCCTATGACCAGAAATCCTCTTGTCTGGGTGGCCCTTACCTCATGAAAGTTAAGGGTCATGGCCAACCAGAGTTCATGTAGCACTTCGCCCTGTATGGATAAGCAGTCCACTGCAGGGCTCGTACAAAGACACTAAGGGATGATTCAGAGACTCCAATTAACCACAGCCAGAATATTTTTGGAGGAGGGGGACATCAGAGCAGCCTGACTAAACCCATGGGAACAAGGAGAGAAGAAAACCCAGAAAGCATCCTCGTCTGAAATTGAGCCCACCCTTTATAGCCCACCCTTTATTCAGCCTACAGGACTTAATAATGATGGTTCTGTAGAAGCTGGAAAACATGCACTTTCTTGTTCTAAAGGATTTCTTGGATCCTAAGGATTTTGCAAATGATTTATCTTCCCTGGTCTTAATTATAGAGTTAAATGAAAGAATTATTATTGTATTGTATTATTTGGGGTGAGTGGAAGGTGTATTTATGCGTCACAAAAGATACGGGACATTTTGTTTTTATATAATAATGAACAAGACCTTCCCTTAAATATCTGCAGAGTTGGCGAAAGTGAACTCAGTCCTGCTGGAAACCAAACTGGATGGGGGATCAGAAATGCAGGTCACTTCCAACATCTTTGGGGACAAAAATACAGTTTAAGAAAAATCAAGCAGTATGAGACTTGAGTTGCACATTCTAATTAGGAGGGCAACAGATAAGTGTTGATCTAAAAAAAAGAAAGAAAAGCTAGTCCACAATATCTGTGCCCAGAGTTAACGAATGAGAAAATCTAATAAAAAATCCGTGCCATTTATTAAACATACTTGACATATAGTGCCATTATATATTGCATACATTGAAAGGTAGAGTATGTGCTGCTTCCTGTACTCCTATTCTTTAACAGAAATGAAAAAAAAAATAAGTTCTACATAGAAACACTTAAAAATCTGGTGACAAAACAGAAACTGACATTAAAGGAAACTTCGAATTCCTCAAGAAAACAACCAAGCTCACCATTTTTTATTCCAAAGCAAGAGCACCACTCTTTCAGGGAGACTCTTCTGTCCCGGTTGGAGTCGCACTGTTTAAAGAAACGGGATGTGCAGTGCTCCATGGGCACCAGGGGGGCGCGCAGGGGGGCCAGCTCGGAGTGACTCAGGTACCTGCGGCAGAGACACCCTTCAGCTCTGGTACAAGCCAGCTCAGGAAGAGTCGAAAAATTCAACAGGGCGGCAAACTGCAAAATGCAATCCTGTGATGAGCCAAATTAGGGCCTTGCGATGGACTGGCATCCCAGCTAGGGGGTGTCCAGCGTGGGTCTGCAGATATCGGGATCTGGCCTGGGGTCATTGACCTGGTCTCCTGACCTGGCTATAGAGAATTTTAGAATGGACACCTGCTGTTGTAGGTGACAGCACAGAAATAGCTGAAAGGCGGGACAACATCATCAAGAATAGCCACTGGACCATAAGTAAAATGTGGGCTCTTCAACCCCGCTCGTGGTTATAACATGGCTGGACTGGGACTATAAAAACATCTGTAAAACTGATGCAATTCGGGGCATTGTGGGAAATACACCTCGTGTATGTCTCCTTCAGTGTTCTCCGGAAGTGGCCATTTTTGTTACAATTAAACTCATCCCAAACCTTCGCTGGACTGCGCTGCGACTGCTTACATCCCTACAGGACCCCTTGTTTTGCCGAGAGATGCTCTGGCTCCCCCGCGACCCTGAATCAGAAAGGCGGTTCGAAAACGGGCGGATAGGAGGAACCGACTCCACTGCGTTCCGTGTCTCTTACCCATCGGCTGGTCTTTGGTCTAGCTGGCCGAACTGCCAGTGCACTGGGTACACGTTCACAAGGTAGTTGATCTCGAAGTTCCGTCGTCGCCGGCTGAACTGCTTGCCGCCAGCTTTCAGCTCCCCGTGCAAGTCGTAGATCTTTTTGACCTGCGTTAGAATGGATGATGTGTCAGCGAAGACACGCAGGCTGGTATAACAATTAGGTGGGCCACATGGACTCCAAAAGCTAAGCTAAACTAAGCTACACTGGGCGTATTTGACAAATTAAATTGAGGATGCACTGCTGACTGGCTGACTGATTGCTTGTGCTGTCTGTATAACGCCAGTCAATCAGGCAGCTCACAAGAGTCCTGCCATTCTAACTCCTGGAGCTGGGGTACCATCTACCCTGCCTCCATTCTGTGTATACTTACAATGATTCGGTGCTTCTTAGACAAGTATCCTGGGTTCCTCAGATCATACTCGTAGAGGTGGACCATAACGTCTTTCAGCCAGCCGTGAATGTGATGAGAGAACTCGGTCAGTTCGCTGTCAAGGCAGGGCGAAATGTCTGCACAAAGCACAAAGGAGGGGTTTGAGTCTAATCCACATTCAGTGATGTCGTGCCTCTTCATGAAGCGCTAAGTCTAAATCCTCAGACATTTGCGATTTTAAAGGCTGTTAAGTTGATTAATTAAGATAACAAGAACAGGGGGTTGGCTGAGAGGATCCTTTGACCAACTCATCAGAGCCATTCAGCTTTCTAATCACTACTTGCTCAACAGCACATTATGGGAGGATTACCAGTGCATCTTCCACTGACATCACAACAAGTCTGTAAGTGCCTGGTAAATCACAGGAGTTTCATTGTGAATTGAGAGCCAAGAGAGCCCTGTCTGACTAATCGCAACCCTACCACAATTAGTAGCTTGGTATCCATGAGGTTGCCTTTTCCTCTCTCATTAGTGATGTTTAAGGCCATTTTAACAGTGCAACGTCAAAAGGCCTTCCAGAAATGTACTGTAGATACACACCCTGTAATACCACCTGTACTGATCAAAAGCATGAGCATCTGTATCATGTACACTTCACACAGCAGCAAGTCGAGTCGAGCTTCACATTTACACATCGCATTACTCCAACACACAGCGTTGATATATCTACAGAACTGGCAATTTCAATGTTCAGGTGCCCTGGCATCGCCCCAGACACGTGGAGGCAACAACTGGCTTTTTGCTCTCCAAAGACAGCTCCAAATCCTAGCAGAATTGGAACAGGAACTTATCCGACACAAAACGCCATTCTCCACAGTCACCTTCCAACCCTGAGGCACAGATGCCATGCAGACCTTGTTTCCATGCATGCACATGTCCAGGACTGAAACTGAGACTTCCTGGCCTGACCCTGTCTAGACAGGAGATGCAGAAACAGCAAGGGTGACATTAAATCTGAAAGGCAATATCAATAAAATTGCCAATAAAGTATTTAGGTGCTTATACAAAGTTATGAACTTTTTAAGAATGTCAGAATATATCCATAGGGCCGCTGTACACAAAGGTTTCTTTTCCAGTCACTTGCAGCACCGTGTTATTTTAGAGGTCAGAGTGTGTAGCTCTGTCAGATTGCAGGCTGCAAAGGATCAAGAAGAGGTTCATTTCATGCTGAAAAGTAAGAAGAAAAACTGTGTTTGGCTGTGAAGCCTTTTGCAGGTATGTAGGGAAGAGTAGACATATAGAGCAAATGGATGATGTAAGAAGACCAAACAACGTGAATGTGGGAGAAGTTGAAGGGAGGTGAAAAGGTTGTTAAAGTTAAGTTCAGAGGCGAGAAATCCAGGCGAGTTTTGGAAAGCAATAACCTGCAAAGGAACGGAGAAATGAGAGAGGCTGCTGAGAGAAAGTGTAAACAACGTTTTCGGGGTAATTTTGGTTTCTGTTGTCTTTCTGGTGAAGGACTCTTTGAACTCTTTTTCAGTGTCGGGTCAGCTTCTACTTGTTCTGTTGGTATTTAATCACAAAAACGTAAATGAAAAAAATCATACAATGAAGGAGTGAAACTTACACTTGCACTGGCCATTGTAATCCAGGTGAAGGTTACCTCCATAAAGGCACTTTGCGGTGAAGAGGTGGCAAGCACTATCATACGTCTTGTTATCTGTGCCACACACCTGAAAAGTTTTGTTGGAAACAATGCAGACAACAGATGAAGAAATTAAAATAGTAGCTTTGTGTTGTAAACTGTCACATTTCAAGCTGAAAGTCTACAAATTCAGAATATTATCCAGAGGACTCAAAAACAGACCTTCACCTTGTTTCTGGATGTGACCTAATGATGTGCTTTTTGCATACACAGGTGTTTCCACAGCAACCTGCTTCTGCTGATGGCATCATAGATGACATAGGCACCTGGCATGATACCTTAACAATACTGGATCTGGATAGATGAAGTAATGGCAGACGTAGAAGCTGGCCTTTCCCAAGGATGTGTTTTGGTGATCATACAGGGTTTCACATACGTATGCCCAAGGACTCTGCACGTTGAGTGAACTAAAACATTAGTCCTCAATAGCTACACCAATGGAAAGAAGCAATTCATCATTTCCTAGAAAACTTCAGTGAGGGTCCTGTCAATGTTTACACCTGTCTGGGTACAGGTGATGAGTCACAGATTCACCACTGAGGCCCTGAATCGAAACAAGATTCCATTCAGTGGAAACACTTTCACTCCTGTACTTAAATCTCAACTTAATTTCTATATCCAGTGTGAGTCCAACCCTACAGTACATTCTCAATCCAGTCACCATTTTCTTCATGTAAACTAATACCCCTTCACTGTACTAAAACAGGATTCTGTGGGATGGTATATTCTATCACTGTGAGACTACAGTCCATAATCACCAACAGTGCCGTCTTACATTTTATGCCTCCCCAGACCATTACAAAACCACCAACAAATCAATTCCTCTTCAAGATGCTGGCCCGTGCATAGAGTTACCATCTTGCTGTAAGTGGTGTCTGGATTTGTCAATTAGGCCAAATCGTGAGGTTCACTTAACTGCTGTGTGCACCCTGGAGATATACTGTACAGTATATCGGGGTGGTGTGGTTAAGATGTGAACACATTGCTTACTGAAAGCGACAAATGGCATTTTCAGAGATTTATTTTTCAGTGGCTAGGCTGTGCTGTGACTGCTGCAGCTGCTGTCTGAAGGAAATATGAGGATGCATGATCCTTATCCACCTGCCTTGTGCTGTAGCAATACACATGAAAGTTCCAAACATGCCCCATCATTGACATTTTGACTAGCATTGCATGTACTCGGAAATCAAAGCATTAATGGTATCTCTTTGAAATCTCCAGTTGGTTGCTCATTGGGAAATTCAAACTTGAAGAACTCCCAGCACTTGATAGTGCTCATAATTAGGGATTGTGGTATCAGTGTGTGTGATGCAGGAGCTTGTCCTGATTCAGCTGTGACTACACTTTGCACATGCAGGTTTAGGGCTGCAGTTTAAACAACATCTAAATAAAAAAAAAAAAACAACTGGTGCTTTTTTTTTATAAAGCTGCTATTTGTCATGTGTAGGTTAAGGTTCAGTATATGTATTTAAATTGTATGGGTGTTTTCATTATATACAGACAGAGTAAACAGCAGTGCATGACAATTACTTCACATAACAAAAACCAGGAGTACCCTGCAAAACATGTATGACTAGAAAAAGATGCAGGACAACATCAATAAAAAATCAGATGGATTAGATTAGGACATGAAAATAAATAAGTGAAGCAAATTATGACTTGGGAAAGAGACTAACTGTCAAAATAAGGATCCAAATGGAGTTTTAGGAGATTCTAAAGCTGCAAAAAAAATGGTAGATATGTTTTTTTAAACTCGTGATAGACATGCAGGTGTAGAACACAAATAATGGGAAAACTCACATGATCAGATATTCCAGCTGGTGGACAAGTGGAAGGATCCTGGCAAACACATTTAGGCTTATTTTCGTTATTGAGTTTACACATCTTTCCACGTGGACAATGGTAGCTTTCACAAGGGTCTACAACGATGAACTTCACATGAGACTTTAGTAATATAACTGAACATTTCTGAATGCCAGAACATCACCAAATTGACATTTTATCACACAGAGAAGATGAAACAGCATTTCGAAACAAAAAAAAAAAAGGAAAAAAACTTGCCTTCAAGTCCTAAAAACTCAAATTCCTAACAAGAATGGCCCGCAACCAAGGACCTTGAATGAAAAGTTAAAGGAAACGCAAGAAAAAAACGAAAAAAATGGGAAAAAAAGCCAAAAGTTATTATCCCTTTATTACTTGATTGCAAAAAGAACACGACTTTCTGCAGGAGAACATAACTGAAGAGAAAATCACATTAGAAACTGAAGTTATACTTACGTATATACTCCTCAACTTGATAGTCATTGTTTTCATTGAAAAACTGTTCCCAGGAATCTCCACCAATATCATATTCTGGGCGATGTGTTTCCATTTTCACATCCTGGTCCTGAATTTAAAACAATAAGCAACGTCAAGGTCAAGGAAGAGATACCTGTTTCAACCTATATACAGTACGTACCACGTCTGTCTCATTTATATTACTTTCATAAGCAATTTAGCAAGCTGTTTTGACAAAGCTCAAGGTTTGTGTAACTCAATACGGTGCACCAGAAAATCTAAACAGCATTATTATGATACAAAAGATACACTGATCACTTTATAGCTGTGGACACATTAACGCGTTAAGTTAAATGCATATTTAACACTTTCATTAATTAAATCTTGAAATACAGTTGTTAAATTTGACATTTTTCAGAATTTCCAAGGTTTCAAAAAAAATTCAAAGGTTTCAGAGCTGAACCTAAGCAGCAAAGTGTGAATCAACATGACATACCATTTTAATTTTTACTAACTCCATAGATTCGGCGGTTTTCAGCATATCGATAATGTCTCCATTTCTGTTCAACACGTCTTTTTTACTTGAATCTGGTTTTAGAGCCCTGGACGCTCTCTTATGCCTCAGTAGGAACAAGCCTGTCTCCACTGAACCATCCTTTAAAGCTTTCTTTTTGCGTCGAGGTCCTTTAAACTCTGCCCGGTCTGTCATATCTTCAGCTGTGCTGGCGTCCCAGGTAGGAGAGTCGAGCTGTAAAATCGAAAAAAAATATTTAATCGCAAATGCTGTTTTCCAGTTTAGCTTTTGGGAGCTTTACATGTTCTCTATGGACGAATATCAGTGGAACTTGAAGTTATTAGTCGATTTCTTCTTTTCTCTATTTGGTGTTTAGAAGCACGTTACAGAAACTCTTACAACAAAATCACCATCTTTTAAAGGTCAATGATTCGTTGACGCTTTTAGTCTTATTCTTAATTCTAAACATATTACCAGGTGGGCTGGAAGGGTGGAGAACGTGCCTATATAATGTGACTTAATTTAAAAGGAATGACCTAATCAGTTATTTAAGTCATGTGTTGATACATAGTAATTTTTGTATATCCTAACATGTTACCATAAAAGAGAGTATTATTACATGTAGTGCCAATGTGCTTCATCTCTGCCTTTTGTTTCTGTTGTACAGCTAGAATCAGTAACTAATAGCCTCTAAATAAATACGTATTAAAATAAAGGATCAAGCATGTATTTGTTTTCTGAGTCTACAATAATGTTAACACTTCATCGCCTCTGGAAAAAGAGTCCATTTCTGCCTGGTGTGATGTCCCCTCAAACATTTTGTAATATGTCTGCATGTTTATACATAAGAAGCCTGATTTATGGCTTAAATTAATATCAGTTTGCTGTGTGATAACAGCCGCTGTGAGATGTTGACCTGATTTTGTTCTCTTACAGATGTCCCAGTTCTCTATAGAAAGCTACAGGTCATCTGTAAGCTGTTTTTGGAATGTTTATTTAACGGTATTTGAAATTCGGAAAAATGGGACATCCAATGGTCTTCTGAACGATTAATACATTAATAATTAATAAATGTAAATTACCATTACTGTAATTAATGTTTTCTGTGGATATGTGTAAATGGATTGAGTTATTCAGTTGTATTTTAGTTCACAGCCCCTTTAATTTTTTAGAATATACCATTTGAAACCATATTACAGCCTTTCAAAAAGATAATTTTTATTTTAAAAAGATATATTTTTATTTCTTTAGCATATGGCATATAACATTATTCATTATAAGTCTGTTTTTTTTCTTCACTAACCTTAGATATTGTGGCAGATTTCCTTGTTGTTACTTCCCTGGCCTTCCTATTTTTTTTAGCATTTCCTAAATATCCTTCTTTGATCAGTCCCATTAAGTTATTTTCTGGACTCGGACTCCTGAGAGAGTCCATTTCAACATAGCTGTCACCCCTGACTTCTAGGGTCCTTTTAGTTGGAATCTGTGTTACCAGGTGTCTCTCAGGACCTTTCGATGGAAAATCATGCTGTTTCCCCACCGTTGTATCAGTACTTGGGTGTGATTTAGTTGTCACCTCTAAATCACTCTGGCTTGTCCGTGACAGTCTGCGTTGATTTTGTTCCACTGTGGTCTGTGTGAGAACAGAGTTGGGGTTTTCTAAAACTGGCCCTTCCTGAAGGTCAACAGAATCATTCATGTCCTTTGGCATCAGTGGTGTCAATGTGTTTTTCAGTGTTGTGGGTATCAAATGAGGACCTTGGTTCAATTTCACAGAGGTAACTCTCTGTTCCTTTAGCTCCTCATTACCGTCTCTGGGTTTCACACATACTGTTGTCATTCTCTGGGTCACAGGATAGCCATCAAGAATATTGCCGTCCTCGAATTCACGAACTTCGTCATTTTCTGGATTTTGTGTGACCATTTCTCCATCCAGAAAATTGTTTTCCTCAAACCGGTAATCCGGGGCTGGAGTGGAGATTCTTTGTTCCCTGCTCAAATCTGTAGTGCTGCCACCTCTTTTCTGGGTGGTAGTTGCTACAGTTCGGACAGCAGGTGTTACGGGTGTACTGGCTGGAAGTGGCTGAATGGTTGCTACAGGATTGTCTCTGTTGGCTGTACTCTTAGATCCTTTAATTGTTTTTGATGTCTTCATCCAAGGGACCTGTGCCAAATGGAATGCATAAACAAAAGTAGTCCATTACATTTCAATTAAGGAACCACATAAGAAGAGGACATTACTTTTAGTTCTGAGAATGTGACATCCTTTAAAACGTGTAAAGGCATACCATGACTAGACATCTGATTACTAGATGTATGATCAGCTAGTTTATTTATTATGGGAATGTGTTCCTCTTAAAATCTTATTGATTAAAAAGATCAAGTCGGACTGTATCATATTTACAGTTTAAATATCAATACCGAAATCCACAGATTTTTCTTTTTTAAATAGGAGCCCCAGTTTAAAGAAATAAGATCTACACACCATATTAAACCACCAATAATTGAGCAAATATGGTTGGTAAATGTTCTTCATCTGTAAAATAAATGAACAAATAGACATATTTTTATATCACAGTTGGTATTGACACTCAGTATCTTGTTTCTGCAAGTTCTGTTGTTTCATTAACATTCAGAGGGACACCACTTATTTTAAATGGTCATTAAAAATGTCTTAAAGCTTGAACGTTAGGACAACAGTATGACAGAATGCATTGAAAAATAATGCAAATTAAATTATTCTTTAAAACTTCCCTCCTCCACACAACTAGAAGTACTAAAAATGTTCAACTTACTTGCGCACTTTGTCTATACCTGTAGTATGCCGGTAATCTGTAGGTGAGTGATGTCTGCTGAAAGGATATGTCACAAAGTATGAAGAGTCTTTAAGTTCTGATAGTTTCAATACCGTCCTTATTAATTGTATCTACAGTACTTGCAAGTTTTGTCTTCGTTATAGACGACTTTATTTGTTCTATTGAAATTATGCCATTCCAGGCTTCCTATTCAAAATGGAACGAGAACGATTTCCTCTTTAGTTGAAGATTCCTTTAAAATGACACCAAATGTTAATTTAATAGGCTGTAAAATCTTCGAACATGCTTCTTGTGTTTTCAGTTTCAGTAAAAATGGGATGCGGTTATTTTTTAACAAACTTTTCTCACGATACTCACACAGCACTTTCACATGATTTCAAAGAAAATGAAAGTTGTATAAGCTTATGATTGAGAGGGTTTACTTGTTATAACTAAAGAAAGATTTTATTGCTGCAGCTCCCAAAATTTACTTTTGCATTTTAACCTTCAAGTTGTTTTTTCACTTCCTGTGAGACACCGTACTTACTACATACTGAATTAATTCGAAATATGCAAACATGCTGGTAACTTCACGAGGTATTTCATAAATTAAAAGCGAAAATTGAAAAGAATAACAAGGAAAAGCAGCAGACATTATACATATTGGGATTTAAAGCAGGACGACCTTTATTGTCATATCAAACATTTGCCAAAAAATGGCAACATATGACAGATGTTAACTTCTGAGAAAGAGATACCACAAGTAGTATATCCAATTGCCTATCTTAACTTACTATAATAATTTTCTTTATTATAAAAAATGTCTGTTATTTAGAAACCTAAAGGATTAACCCTAACCCAATGAACACAGTGTATTCATCATCACATTATTAATCATGCAAAACTTATCTTAACATCTTCATCCCTCGAAAATCTGAACGTGTTAATAAAATCTATAAAGCGTCAGCCGCTGAATATACTTACTCCGGACTCATCACTGTTGGAGCTGTCTGAACTCATTCCGTTAAAATATGTCTGAACAAAGGGGAAAAAAAGGAGTGAAAGGCAATTCTAAAAGATGGTGCTGTGATTTTTAAGGAAATGTATTTAATGAGTTATGAAACCCCCCTTGAATAAAAGCTTGAGATGAAATGTGTGATGAACCTCAACAGAAGTGACTCAATCACTATTTAACAGCATGTGCACAATTGCACAACAAAGCACACAATTGTTCACAATTTTTTTATAAAACAAAAATTATATAAAACATGATAACAATTGACAATTTAAATTAGAAATGTATTTCACCATGATGCAGTATGTATATTTCTAATGCACCAAGTGTTTTTTTAGTTACATTGCTAAGCATTGGGCTGTTTAATTTTTGCTTGTTTCTGCAATGCATAATGATTAAAAAAGTGAATGACTTAGTGAACAAGCTACTTAAATGCTCAAGACATACCAACTCAGTAATGCATACTGTGTATGCTATAGTTAAAGGGATGAGACTGAATTTCAGAAAAAAACAACACTGTGAGTTTACTTTTACTGCTATACATTTAAATAGCTGTAAGAATTACCAGTGTATCAAGATGTTATACAAAAAGTACAGTATGTGTATTTTCATGTTGTTTTTTTGTTACAACGTGACATTTATAGATGAGCCATTAGAAAAACAGTAACTAGTTGTTACTGTAGGATAATGTTTACAGTGAAATGTTATGATTAAAAAAGAATTAGAAAGCAGATATTTATTATCCCAGATGTACCCTGCTCTTATAGAATCTGATACTTCAGGATCAAGTAAGTAACTGAAAGAAATCAGAATTGCATAATGTTGAGTCAAATATATTGTATTTGGCTGTTTGTTGAAAGTTCACTAAACCATTGTAAATGATCTGGGAATATAATTTTCAGACCATTATTCAGGAAAATCCTATGAGTTTAATTTTTATTTCTTAAAAATATCAGAACAAAAAAAGAAAAATCCTTGAACAGAATCAGGACTGTTACTTTTGGGGAAATTGAGGAAATAGTATTGCAAGGCTTAATGGAAATAACTATTATTCTTTTTAAAAAAAATCTTGTTAAAAATGTAATGTTAACAGCCCCATAATTTTTTATCTAAGTATGTATTTTAAAAAATGCTGAAAGATTTGTAAGGAATGTGCCTTTTGAAAATGCTACCACTCCAATTAAAAACCAGCCTGGAAAAAGAATGAATTTTAATGCAGGGGACTGAGACATTAGCTTTAGATTTGCATATGTCTATACTGAATGAGTCACTTCTTCACCACCTAACCCACAGCTGTGGCTTCTAGCACTCTTAATCACAAGAACTAATTGGAACAATACCGAATGTTTTAGCAATGAGTACATTCTAATACGTTTTTTTAAACATCAATAATAATTGGAAATTTTTCAAGACTAAACACTGCAAGCTAAATTCTTGAAAGGTGATTAAAAACATTACTGCTTTCATGATAAAATACCACAACCTGGTCAAATAGAACCTAACCTCTGATATTTTTTGTAATATTCAGTACTGGGTTGATTTAACTATAGTATTTGCAAGATCATACTCCATTATCTGACATACGCTGTAACTGGGGTGGACAGACAGCTCATGAGGTATGCTTGATTTTTATTTGTGCAATTACAGGCAGTTTTTAGCAACAACAGGTTAGTCCAAAACTGTAGGTCTAAATCATTTTGGGATGTGCTGAAAAGATAGGTACTAAAATAAGTATGAAAAATTGTCATAATTCTCTTTATCAGTCGAAGGTAATGAGCTGCACATTCTTTTTCTGTAGGATATCCAACCCTGATGTCTGCACATGCAATTAACCTCTGCTTCTGCCCTTGTCTGTTCTGTGTTCGCCACAGACTGCTGGTGCAGCCTGTAGTTATGCAAACTAGAGGTGCTGTGGTTGACTGGTGCCAATGTTCTTCACACGCAGTGCTTTGGAGTGGTTTTGAAGCGAGGTGCTTCTTGATGACACACACACGAGTCAAACTGTTTCTGAGGGCCCACTTGGGCAGGATGGTTAGCTTTGCAGAGGCTGATACACGGTGCTATGGGGTATGATCTGTGAATAAACTTGAGCATGTTTAGATGTGTATGAGTTTCACAACAGTTCTCTCCTAATGCCAGCACAAGTAAGCTCTAATGACTGTTTTCCTCTGTGAGTCAAGGTTTTGAAAGAATTGGACTTTCGTCTGAAAACTGTTTATCAGGAGGATTGTTTCCTCCATCCATCTTCCACTACTAATATTGCTAGTGGAATGATTTTACCTGCGGTACATACAGTACATTTACATTGCCTACAATGGGAGCACTGAGACTCAACGGAAGGTAGTTTCTTTGAAAGTTATACTTTTTTGCTTACTTCAATACTGCCATGACAATACAATCTGCTGAACGGAGTGCACTTGTACCAACTGACAGAGGCAGTTATTGTAAATGGGTGATTTCTGTTAAAAGTGAATTTCAGAACAACCTAAAAACACTGCAGAGCCTAAAGCTTCCAAACTGACCTCTCGTATCGGTACTGTTGACTACAGTTTGAATCACAGAGTTTGAATCTGTATATTAGAACTGGAATAAAATCAATTCCCTTTAGCTCCAATGTACTGCTTAGGTTGCCTTCAGTATCTTTCGATGATATTATGTGGAATATTACCATATTGAACTGGAGTGCTTTAGGTCTGCCTGTATTGACTAGATTAGCTCATCTGCTGACATCCGAAGACCTGACAGTTATGGTGCTGTTGCTGTATAACAGGACACCAGCAAATACCTCCCAGTGTGATCACAGCCGAGCAGCCTTCATTTCATTGTCGTGCTTGTCCTGCTTGTCCAAAGATTTTTCAGGATCTTAAAAAATTGAACCAAATCCATAACTGTCTGTTAGGACTAAAGAGATCTGAAATATCTAACCTGTATCTGTGTAAAATTGCATTAAGACATATTCAGGTACAGGTCATTTGAACAGTTATTTGAACAGTTTTGAAAGTAATGACCAGAGCCTGCCAGGCCTTTCTGGTGCCTTGCATAATTTCAAATTACTTTGATTTTGTTATGGGTCCAATGATCTTAAGAATATGTTTACTTTTATATTCATCAATGGCTTATAGGGTCTCCTAGGAGTCATCATGTCTTAAATGAGGTGGTTTACACTCCAGATACCAGATCGCAAATGAGCTAGAGGTTAGATTTGTGAGACTGTGTTTTTCCAGAAATGTCCAGGAAGCAAAGGTAGTTTAATTCAATTTTGTGGTCTAGGTATGGAGACAGAAAGTAAGAAGAGAATATGCGAAGACGATTTGAGTAGGAAAGCAGGAGAAGAGAACAGAATGAACAAGTTAAAACCTGCCTTCACCATTGGATTGTTTCTTAACAAACCAAAATCTTTGAGGTTTGAGCACTGAAGGCTTTCTTACTGATCCCATGCCTAACCTGATGAAGATAGTTGTAAATCAATATAAACACCTGAATATTTGTGTATACTAAGTTTGCTTGGCAGATATCTGAAAAGCATTTAGGAATTGTTTCATTTCTTTTACTACTTATGCAATGTTTGCAAAAATATTTATGTTTGTGCAATTTACATATTTTATCTACAAATTGTGATGACAGATACTTTATCACTACAGTTAATTGTTATTCTTTTGACAAATCTGCTAATAAATTGAAGATAATGAATTCCAGTTTTATTGGGATGATCTTATTTTTCCAAAGTCCTTTTCTGTCTGTGTCAGTAAAGCACCTTGAAGCCTTCACCAAATTCTAGCCACAATGTAACTGAAGAGTTTCCCAAAATCAATACAATTCAACATGTATTCACATAGTACTATAGAGGACAATGATAATTAATGCTACACAATATGACTAATATAAAGAATATCATCTGAAGGTCATTTTTGGATTATAACAATCAGCACAGACTAAATGGCATATACATTATTACATTTTATAAAATCTTTAATCTGTTCTCTGTTTGTATTTTATGGGACTTTATTACCTTGGAATGTAAATGTTAAACCACAGAGGTTAAAGCTATTATTGATTTGCTTAATTCATATTAAAATATCATATCCCTATTGTTAATAAGTAGCTTGTGCCAATACTCAATTTGATGAAAATACATTACAACAAAGAACTTATTTTAATATTGGTGATTGAGAACAGCATGATATTATGCAGAATGTTGTTTAAAGGATAATTGTATACTGCTAAAACGAAACACTTCTCCCAGTGAGTTACCCACTTGATACTAAAGGTGAGACACACAATATTCATTAAACACTTTCATGTCCTTTGTAAAAACGAAATGATACTTACAGAAGAAGAGAGATGAGGTGATAGGAGAAGAAGACATAAGACCAACATCTTCATCCTTCCAGCGTCAATCCCTGAAATACGTTTCAAATGCTCAAATGCTACTTACTGTAAGTGCTTAATGTTCATTTAACACAGACAGATGAATCGGCTTTTATGTTTTTTTGTTTTTCGCTAAATGTAGTTTGTATATAGGGCTCTTAATATTTTAGCATCACAGATGTGTTGGATAGCTGTCTCTTCATCTGTTTTTGTATGAGACCATTCCCATTGGTGAGAAGGACTGAACTAGTGTGATTTGTTTTATTTATTTATTTTTAATGTTGATATCTTGGATACAGCTCAGTCAGCCACACTTTACTGTCAGGGCCTGGAGACCTCACAAATCTGAGGTCAATGAGCAAAGGAAGTAGTGCAACATTGTGCTTGTTTAATGTTAGCTCTCCTTAGTTCTTCTGACTGAACACAAAACGCAAATATTAACATCAAAGGGATGTTATCACAGCATATCCACTCATTGTCATTCTTGTATCTGCAGTGTATATAGTACGTATTATATGTTCATTATTAAAATGTGATTATATATCTTTTTAAATACGTCAAAATAGTTACATGGCAAAGTACACCTTTCGTTTGGGCAGTATCTGCATTATTTCCTTGAAAAGAGTTTTGTTACCAAAATATTTGCAGAATCCCATTCTAAAGTCTGTATTAAGTGTTTGGCTTTGTATTATAGAATAAGAGCATCTGCTCAAGATTTTCAAGATTCCCATATATATAAGATTGCCAGCATAGCATCTGAAAAATGTTGTGTTATTTTCTGAATTCTAGAAACTTAAGTTGTCAGGAATTGTATGACAAATATGACAAATGATTAAATGGAACAGAAATTCCAGAACATAGGAAAAGAAAAGCAGTGTTAAACCGTTACTGTATTCAGTAAATATGAATTCAATATTTATTGTATTAATGTGGAGCCACAGATTGCACTTAAATCCAATAAAAAAATATTTCACACAGTTCACAAAGCATGCCAGAAACGTGACTTTTTTTTCAAATTTTAACGAAATGAACAATAACATGATAAAGAATAACGAAACCAAACCGAAAGCCTCAGGAAACTTGAAACTTCATCACAACGCCCAAGCAGTAACAACCCCAGTACAAAGCATTGCTTGCCACACTGTAAACTCCACATGCAACAGGAGAAATGAAACTATGCAGCTACACAAACGCACCTAGGACCCTTTCTGAGATGCTACCACTAAATACAGGTTTTGTTTTTAAAAAAGATAAAAGGGAAATATGAGGAAAAATGTAAATACTACTTACAGTGGGGACAAAAAGGAAAATTTCCACTCAAGTGCAATTCCTGAAAACCAAGGTGAATTCCCCAGTTCCCTGTCTTCAGGCAGATTATCCCCTTCTGTTTTTTTTTCCACAAGCGGCCCAAGACAGAATTAATGTTTATTAAGCTTGGTTGGTGATGTCAGGAGGTGTTAACGTTTCCCATTTAGCTTAGAAACTCCCACACTTCCATTAACTGAACAACTGGTATTTACTCCTAATTATAACTGGTAGCCTGAGCACACCACACGAGCCATTATAAATGTCAAGCCTACTAAGCTGTTTAATGTTTGAACCAAGAACCAGTCTCAGCCTGGTTTGCATAGTATAATTTATACAGCTAAACGTTCCTAAAAAATCTGCCCAGATTTGTACAGGACATAAATGTGATTGTTTGTGTCTGTAATTTATATCAATGGTTTGCATTATAGTATAGTTACTAAACTAGTAAAGTTTGCAGATGATAACATAATAGGAAGATTGGCAAACACTGCAGAAACAGTGAATGAAATTCTGAAAGATTTAGATAAAATTCAAGACTAGGCAAACACCTGGCAGATAATGTTTAATATAGAGAAGGACAGCTGGCAAAAACATAACTTATTAATAGAAAGTGGGAAGCACTGAGCTAGCAGGTAGCATTTATGAACGTTTTTATTTTGATACATCATTTACATCTTCTAGACAATACAGAGAAGCAATGAAAAATGCAAACAAATATGTTAGGATATATACTGTAGGTGTAGATGATATATTAAAATTGTAAAATGCACTAAATACCCATTTTAGAATTTTTTTTATGTTTATGGTCTACAGATTTCAAAAACAATATTGTTTCTCTGGAATCAATTCAGAGAAGTGCATTTCTGAAAGGAATTAGAGGACTTCAGAGGACTGTCAGGTTGAAACTGACAGGCTGAAGGAATTGAGCCACTGTAGTCTTCAGTAGAGATGATGATAATGGGACGTGATACAAGTGATCAAAATCCTCAGAGACAGTGTCAGAATCACCCCAGAGGTTCTCTGCAGGAGCACAAACTACAGCGTACACAAGTGGAATTATGTGGAAACTTAACTAAAACAGATAACAGAGGAGGCACATTTTTACCCAAAAGGTTATGAAAATATGGAACAAGCTTCCCAGACATATTGTGTAAGAAAATATTGTACACTTTATAAATATATACACTGCATTTACATAACACTGTGGTGTAATCCCATTTTGAACGATCATAACATAAATTTCATTAACTAATTTTACGTACAGTATTAGGATGCTGTATTGCTGTATTGATTTATTAACATTTTAAAAAATCTATTAAGGTCATTTAGTAATAGGTGGCATATACAGGACAACATAATTTCAATGTACAGCTTTGAATCTGTTAAACAAACAATCTATTAAATTATCCAGGTTTTCACAGATCCTTATTACCTGTAATCCAGGACTAACTAGTCAGATGGGATAGTACTAATGCTAGTGCCTTCGAAATTACCCAGTAATAGTTCATATGATTTATTAAGTACTTATATTAGTTAGATTACACTGATTATATTTCAAGCTAAATTCGTAAGATTTAGGAAAAAAATGACAATGCTGACGGAAAAACAAAGTAATCTGGAAAAGATATTTCCGAAAAGGTATCTACGAAAATCTGTACTTTCAGAGAAAGAGGTTGAGTTCCAGCAGAAGGGTTTCCTGTGTGGTCTTCTGTCCAACATGTGCTCAGACGTCCCCTCTTGGAACGGCGGTTGTTCGCGGAGCTGCAGTAGTGCGTTCAGGTGGAGCTGGTGGTCTGACAGTCAGTATTGGCTTTGCGGTTGTTGTAGGGGTTGGAGGCCGGGGGGTAGTTGTATGTATCGGGGGCCTAACGGGTCTTATAGGTATGATCTATAAAGGGTAAAAGAAAAGAAGTCAGGGGCATTGGAAAGTATATGGTTCTGCTTCATTTCTAAAGATGGTATAGGATGCAGTCTCTTAAGAGCAACTGAACAGTCTCTGCCATTATGTAAGCACACCATGCTTCTCTAGGTCTGCCTCAGGAAACGTTTCCTTCCTGTGCACATGCATATCAGGTGAATGAAACAGAAGCATATTTTGTCATCCAGTGCAACACGAAATCCCTCCTGTATTCTATGCAAAGTGTAACAAAGTGAAACCCGAGCAAAGCAAGGCGTGTCTTCGGTCTGAGCAGCAGGAAGCTCCGATTTTGCTTTGTTTTCTTAGCAGTGCCGCTCATTCCAAAAGCTTCCATCTTCCACTGGGTGAGCACCCAAGCAACCAGAACCGACAGGAGACACACAAACATTTTGTGTGTAATTTCTGATTTTGTTCACAATCTCTCATTTGTATTCCATCAGATTCACAAGGAAATATTGGAGATATACAATACAGGTGAGAAAACAGTTATCAAGAAGTCTATACTATATTATGTTGTAATAAATTATTCCGTAAAGACACCCATCGTCCCAGTTTAAAAAAAATGAAAACTGTCTAAAGAAAATACATTTTAGCACCATTACTTTAACATAATCCCATTAAATTCATAAAAGTTATGTGAAAACAATTCACAGGATTTATCTCCTCATGGAAGCTAAAATGTCATAATGAGTAACTGTACTGTATTGGATTCTGCATGGGGGAAAATGAAAACGTTTCTCCACAGAAAAACAATATTATGACAGTTGTCTTTGAATTTCCATCTACAGTATATGAACTGAAATGAGAGATTGGATTCCTCAGCTGTGATAGGTGCTAAGAGCTAGGTGACTCCACTGCCTTCGTCTGTCTGTTCTTCCACACTTTGTGTTAAATACTGTACATGTAAAGGTAGCACAGCTTTAACACTGTGACAAATGAGTCAAATGTTGGTTTTGACTTTACTAATCCCTTTACATCCTTTGCACAAAACATTTTAAACATCTTAATACTTTTGGTAGTATTTTGTTTCACCTAATTGTGCAACCACATACTGTAATACAGCCAGCATCAATGTTTCATTTGGCCACAACTGCAATTATGTACACTTACATAAAGTTGATATAACCCATAGACCTGCAACAAAATAAATTCCTATTATAACACTACAACATAAGACATCTTTAAAAAGTACCAGCTTTTTTATGATTTGTTAAGTTTCAAACCACTTTCAAATTTCATTGAAAAAACACAGTATTTCAAAATTCAAAGAGGTCTTTAAAACCTTTTGGATCTTAGCTTATAAATACTTTTTAGTAAAAAATGTTTAGCCTACTGTAATTTGCTGCTTTGCATCTGCATAGATATAATTATAAATGTATAGTTTTGGGGAGAGAGGTGGTTTTAAAATTAGGAGAAAGATTGAAATTAGTATTGTTTCCAGCATATTTATATATTATTTAAATAGCATAAGAAAATTACAATACAATACACAGTAATGTATCTGAGTATGATCGCAGGTAGCCAAGAAAAACTCCACAGCTAAAATATTTCTAGATAGAAAAGCAATTACTTTCTCCAGAATATCTGTAGCTTCTTTATTTTAAAGATTTGCAGGAGACTTCATGGTACTCTGGTTTTACTTCCAGTATTTATCTAAGTTATTCTAATTTAGCATCTATTATGAGATATCAAACAAAGTAATAGAAATAAAATAGAAAATAAGTCAGTACTGGAAAGCATTTGTCTTTCAGCGGAGCACCATTTCTTATTTGAATTTATTTTTTTTGGAATTTATTAAATTTCATTAATTGCTTTGAATTCTCCTAAGATTTTATTCTTTGCTGAAGTACTACTTTTATAAATTAAATCAGAATTACCACTCTGGGGTGTAGCTGGACATATCCATAAGGATAATAAATTCTCACTGCCTAGAATAAAACAAAAGAGAAATTAAAGTTGTTTGTTATTCATATGTTGTTGGAATACTAAAATATTAAAACAAACACCTTTCCTTGTAATTAGAATGACACTAGCATCTAACTGTACTGTACTAAGGTTCTTTAAAGTGGTAGAATCTAATCATTATTAATAATTTAAAGTTAAATAAATAGGTTTAAATGTGCTCAAGCACATTTAACATTGTTTAAATCTTTTAAACATTTTATTATAAAGATGTTAGATTTTTCATTCCCCAAAAATGAAAGGGATTACAGAGTAGGATTACAATAAAAGACTATTACCCGAAGGTAAGATAAAATATCGTGTTTCCTACATGAGCTGGAGCATGATGACGTTTTTATCTCTTTAAAGAATAGTCTGTAGTGAAATTTAATCTTCCTCAGTACTGTTAATAACTCCTAAAACCTAAATGTCATATTTGAGACGGGTGTGTAAATGTATGTCTCTTTAAAGGAACTGTGGTCAAATATTATACACTGTACTGTATGTACTGTATACACGTTTCATCATGTTTTTTTATAATAATTTGTCATTTTTATAAAACTTACTTGTGTTACTCCAGCAACTGAGGCAAGTGGCTGGACCTGAGAGTAGTTAAAAAGAGAAAGCAAACCAATAAACCTTTTTATTATTGATAAATATTTACATTCTCTAATTATTATTGTCCAACTGTAATTAAAAAAACTATAAATGATGCACAACCAAGGCGTGATTTTGCCATGAACAAGGTTTAACAATAAGACCTGTATCACGTGCTGTAAATAAAAGAATGCAGAGTTCTGTTTAAAATGTGACTTTGTTTTGGTCTAAGAAATTATGGTTGACTTATATTGGCACAAATACTGTAGATCGACGTAAAGACTGATTGTTACAAGTATATACATAAATTGCAATAGACAGAAACATTATTCTGCAGAAAGAAAGAAAAAACATTTTAATTTCACTGGTATGTTATAAGAAAATTGCAGTACATTTATTCAAGCATTAGCTAATTAAAAAAAAAACTTTTATTTCTTATTTATTATTGTCTTTTTTGTTAAGAAGTACTTCACTAAAACACAAGTTGTTTTATGTATCAGGTATTTCCTTCAATAATTCTTCTCTTCTTACCAGTTGCTAAACCAGATTAAATCTATTTTGTCATCTAGTTCCCGAGTAGCCTTGGAAATATTGACAAACATTTAAAACAGGCTGAATGTGCTCCCCTCTACTGAGACAAACGGAATCTGCAGAGAGAAAAAACCACTGATCTGGGTAGATGCTGGGAACCACAGTAGGTAGAAACTGCTGAAATTA